GGACATCGGATCGTGCAATCGCGCGGTTATTTAGCCCGGGGCAAACAGCCACGCTTCCCCCCCGCATTTTCCGGCCCGTGTGACCGGAGCCCAGGTATTTCAGTCTTCTTGCAGTTTCAATCTTCTGGCATCACAACCACAAATCCTCTACCTCAGCTGGATTATTGGTCCTTTGCCCACCATTATTATTACATAACTGCATAAATTCAGGACTGGGCATGGTGGGGGCAGTCTTCTCTTTCATAGTAACAGGAGGGACTTCAAGACCTGTGAAGCAGGACATTTGAATGGCATGTGAGAGGGTGTGACATCTTGTGAAATGAAGTGATTTTTCAAAGCATGGTCATGTGAAAATATCCTCAACACATTTATAACTTCCTGTTATGGACAACCCCCTCAGAACCTTTTCCTCCTACTTTGACAATTTCTGTTTCCTTTTAAATCAGCTCACCCAAGCTCTCAAATCCCCATTATTATCACTTTATGGGTCAAAAGAAATGTGAGAGAAGTACCTGATTTGAAACAAGACCAGAGAGAGAGAGAGAGAGAGAGAGAGAGAGAGAGAGAGAGAGAGAGAGAGAGAGAGAGAAGGCCATTAAGGTATGAGAGGTCTGAAATAGTAGAAAATACAAAGGACTTTAAAGAAAAGGCTGACCTTTAACCCCATTATTACTACTATTATCCTGTCTCACTTGGTACCATACCTGAAAGCCACAACTCTGTGCGGGAGCCAACATTACTTAGTGTCAAGTCATCAACCTCCATGGATCCAGTCTCCCGGCTAGGAGACCCCTAAGCACCATTCTCAAAGCTTATTAATATCCTAACGAAATCAGGCTTTGGAAAGGATTTGGCTCTGAAACAAGATTGCTTCCCACGGCCATGCTTACTTCATGCAGAAGAATTTAGGCTTTCAGAAATCCTGGTGACCATTCACACTCAAAACTCCTGAGCTGAACTCTCAAGAATGATGGGATCATTAAGAGGAAGAGAAAAAGAAAACCCCATCCATAATGAAAATAATCACATTGGGGTGTTTTGCTTTGTCATTTTTTTCTCTTTTTTAAAAAAGGACTGAAGTAGAAAATACTTAAACTGTCATTTCAGTTTCATAGTTACATACGCATGACTGCTCTGGCGCATGGAGTGGGAACGGTTTGCTTTCTCCTTCCAATGTGAATGAAATGGACATACACAGTTGATGAAGCTGCATCCAGGCAGACACGTCTGTCGCTATTGCTTTTCATGACCATCCCATTATGAGTGCACTGGAGTTCACAAAACATTCTGGGGATGTGTGAAGGGTGTGCACATGTGTGTATGAGTGTGTCCGTGGTGTACAGCTGGTTCAAATCTTTACAGAGCAGATTCCGTTTGTCCCCCTCCCTGCTTCAGTTTAATGGAGGGGTATGCGTGTCTTTTGGTTTTCTTCTCAAGATTTCACCTCTTCGCAGTCTTGGTCAGTGGAAAGATCTACATCAGAGAGTCCAACCTCCATTGCCATAATTAATGAAATATCAGAATCACTACTGACTGCTGGCTCTTGCTCACCTGAAAGAAGAAAAATGATGTTTAATGCAGCTTGCCACCAATATTTAAAAATCAGCTCAAGTTCCAACTTCCTAGAATCTGATTTTAGATGGTCCACTTAACTCATTATTGTTGACCAATTGATTGCCTGCGACCTTGAGAGCTGCTGAGATCTTTCTCATTCTTGCCAGTCTGTAAGTGTTATTTAATCTGGAGACATTTACAAAGCATGTTTTTTTTAACCACCAAGCTACAGCCAATCTGTTCCGTTTTCGTGTATATCAAAAGAACATTGTTGATATATGTTGAGATCTGCTTCCCCAAAACTCCTCCCCACCAGTGGATCAATTAGAGAGGGTCAGAGGGCTCAATGGATGGCCTTGAACAAGCCACCCACTCTCTCTTCAGTTCACTATTTTCAACCTCATTTTTGCTGATAAAACACATCTAATAAGAAAATGTTTACGCCTTTGGGAGTCCTCAGACTGGGTTCCTAACCCTGGTAAATAGGGCAGAGTCCCACTGGCTCCACCTTGGCCTGTCACTTAGTCCAATGCCCCACGGTGTAGATCCCTCTCACACTCTGTACTTTCCACCTCACTGGTACCAACTGCCTCCCCAGTACACTTGTAGGTCTAGCCATAATTGTTCATGGGAGCCAGTCCCTGGGCCTCTTTTTCTAGCTGGGGCTCTCCCAGCTCCTGTGGCTGCTCTTGGGCCTCTGGATAAACTGACTGCCCTGTATGCCCCTCTGATCTTGATGCGGGCTTCTCCATCTCTGCTGCCTAGGCCCCACTCCTCCATCAGTGATGGTGCACCACTTCCAGCCTGGCCATCAGAAATACCCGTTATTTACCCTTCCTCTTCAAAACAAAATTCTCCAGTTTTATAGGATTCCCCTTTAACCATGATCCCACCATGACCCATGCTTTCTGTCCCATGATCCCACTATGAAATATGTTAAAGAAAAGCACATGTGAATGGCAACTGCACATTATCTATTTTCATAAAATATGCCTTAAGGCGTACAACAATGAAGACACAAATGTCAATAAAATCATACAACAGTAGCATAAAATGGCAAAAATATAATGAGCAGCTTCAAATTATAAAGCAGCCCTAAGAATCTGCAGGGTTTTCAAGTCGTTGTGTAATTTTCCTCCAGAAGTTTGGTCCAGCAGAATGAAAATAATTTCAGGATGATGGATGAAAGAACGCATCAAAGAGGCAAAATTTCCTATTGGCTTCAGTGAAAGTACAACACTATTCACCATTTGGACATGAACACCTCTCCTTTATGAATTCCATACTGAAAATGAAAATCTAAACCACTAAAGTATGCTAGGGCTTAAACACAGAACATAATAAATCCGGAACTAAAAGTCAACTGAATAAATCTCTGTTCAACAATACCAACTTGTAACTGCCCCAATTAGAGATTTCAAAACAATTTTACATTTAAAGTTCCCTGAAACCTCTCTCACTTTCTTCAGCTTTGTGCTGTAATTTCTTCAACTAAGCCTACTGTGATCACAATGGCAATTATAGAACAGACTGGACAAATCCATCTTGAAAGCACAAAAGCCTATTTCACTGGTATAGGCATTTTGAGAATTATCTCACTTGCGCTGTTACAAAGCACCTTCATTTCTTTTCAGGTAGTTCATACATTTTAGGGCTCATCCTTCCATCTCTGTCTGGTGATCCCCAGTGCACAGGTAACTGAATGAAAAGTAGGATACTAACAGTGCATTCCTACCCAATGGTGGAAACTCTGCATACGATTTTACGGCAAATCTATTTTTATCAGCCCACTTGTGTGAACAAAAGTACAACTGTGGAAACAGACATGGCATCCTTCTTTGTGCATGTTATCTCCACACGATAGGGAATAGGAGAGACAAGATAAGCCACAACAGTGTCTTACACTGCAGTACTAAGCAGATTTGGACACTGATGGACTTAGAAGAGCGTAACTGTGCTTTAGGACTGTATGAACCTGCGCATAAGAATGCTCCCAAAGTTATGTATTTTTTAAAAAAATTGGTGTCTTATGTTCTGCAAGGCAGAAGCATTATGCCTGGAAACTATAACAGAAGCTCTCAAACAACAGAAAGGAAGACACTGAAGGAAGAACAAAGTTATTTTTGATATTAGAAATCGTAAAACTCCATTCCTCCTTCTTACATATAAACACTGTTGCTAGATAGTATTTCATAAGGACAAAACAGCTTTTCTACTAGTTCTTAATAACTGATATAGGAAATACAATACAACATTTTATCCTGCCTTTTCATCACAAAAGATCTCCAAGCCAGGTAAGCCAGGTGAGTTTTCATTAAAGCAAGGTCATGAAGAAATACAATATAAAATTAGCAGATCAATTAAATAATACCTGCAACAAATACAGGATAATAGCAGCAGAACATAGTATCTAGAAGGGAAAACATCTATTTTCTTGTGTGTACTAATCCCCAACCAACATGAAATAACTGCTTTCCCTATTCTCTAAAAAGCAGTGATGGCAGCCAAGTTAATTTTCTCAGCAAAGTAATCTATAGCTTTGGGGCCATGGCCGAAAAGACCCTGTCCAGTCCCCTCCAACACACACTGTACAGTAGAAAAAGTTAGGGAACAGCTCTCTAACAATTTAGTTATTTGAAACACAAGGCCAAGTGTTAAACAATCATTTCCCTTTGTATTCATCTTTAGTGCTGGTTTTCATAGTTGTGATGTTATATTAAATATGTTTTTAACTTGTTAGCCTCCTTGGTAACCCTTATGACGCCAGAAAGGCAGGGTATAAAATCTGTAAAATAAATAAATAAAATTTATGTGTGGGGGTGAGAGGAGGAGTGTTTACATTTCTACTTGTCCCTGTACATGAAAAACCTCTTGCATATGAGCTGTCTTGTTACAAATCTAGGATCAGTCAAATCAAATCAAAATAATGCTTAAAAGACATTCTGATCAATGCTTAAAGCATAGACTGCTGAGCTGACCCGTTACAGACTGCCTTCCTCCCGATGCTCCGCCACAACAGGTTTGCTCACTGGAGCAGGGTCTTCTGCGCAGGTGCCAGTCTGCAAATGGGTAAAACCACCTGTGGCGTCCTCTTATTAGGGAGGACTGGTTTTCCCTTTAAATGTGCTCTTCGCTTTTGTAAACAGGGTAGATTTTGCTGCCACCAGGAATTTAAGGATTTCAAAACCTTCTCTCTGTTTCTTTTGCTGGTAAGGTGACCTAGAGTCAGGGCTTTTCAGGGATCTATGTGGTCCTGAGGACAAATAGAACTAAATTCGGGTTTAAACTTGAACAAAAGATGCGGCATTTTTAAATTGCTTTAAATGGTGGTGTCATTCATGGGTCTTACCTGTGGACACCATCACATCTAGTTTGGCCCTCAGAAAAGAAAACAAGGAAGTGACTATTTCTTCATAATGTATAAATCACATACACTTAAGTGTCTGAGAACCAGGGTTAAATAAATTCTGTATGCCTGCTGGAAAGGCACTTTATCTGGCAGACCAGTTTGCAGCCCAGTCATCACAATAAGTAGAGATAACAGGATAGAAGCACTGGGCAATATTAAGGTGAATTCCATATTCTTTCCATATTTCATATTCTTTCCTCAGGAAGGAAAGTAACAAGGCTGTGAGTCCATATGGTGTAAGAGAGAGACTGCTTAGCCCTTTCTTCTCCCCACTTTTTTTCCAATTCAGAAATATCCTCCCCAAGGTACTTCAACCCAATGGCTTTGGTATGCCACACCACCAAAACAAGGTTCATTTTTCTTTTTTCAAGTCTGTGCATGCACCTTTTATTTCTATGGATTTATGTAAATTAGCATCTAAATGTATTTTGATTTGTTACTGAACTGTAATATTTTGCTATGAATATTTGTGTTACCAAAACTGCAAACTGCTTGTAAAGCTTCCACACAGCAGGAACTGAGGAACTGAGACAGAGGAAGGATTTCAGGCAACATTCAGAAGGGGAAAGCAAAGGCCTGGGAACTTCTTCAAATCTATGATACTGGGGGGAAAATAGCACAGAGTAAGAGGTACCTAAGGAGACATTCTGAAGCCAAGGAGAATATAACTGGGAATTAACCAGAGATTTGAATGTCTTCCTAACACCTGGAAAGTTCTTAGGGTCCAGAATTACACACATAGATGGTTTTGAAAGCAGAGATTGGAGAAAAAATACCCTTTTCTGGGCTTACCCAAATATTTGCATAGAGTGTTCTCAAAGCACAAGCTCAAGAATGCTTTATCTTACTGAGGCAAACTTGAAGAGCCAACAAGTGACTCAGCAGAGTTTTAGTGGAAGGGATGCTCAGTCAAAGGAGTACAGGCCATTTGCCTTTTAAGACCTCAAACAACAGAATGATGGATAGGGCAAAATAAATTCTTGACATACTTTCAGTATAAAAGTCATTGTTCAAGGATACTTGGTCTGGCTTCTCGTTTTACAGCTCTGTGACACTGCAGTGTCTTCCATTAAATTAGCTAAGTCACACTGCCATAAAAACAATGCACTTAAGAGGAGACTGAAACTTGCCACCCCTGTAATTACCTTGCAAGAACTAAGGACTTGCCTGTGTGAAATATTGCCATGGCACAATTTGCTTATACTCCATAACAGTGCTTGATATGCACAGTTGACTCTGTAGCAAATTGATTCTTGCTACAAAATAAGCTGCTTTTTCTCTATGTTTGATCATCTCCTTCACATTCCTCTACACTTCTTACTGTTGCTACAGGGGATACCTGGAGTACACTTGTGAAGTTAGTCATGTGCCCAGGCATACTTGCTTCAAAATAAATCCCACTGATTACAAATTAATTTATTTCCCAATAAAACAGCAAATAACCTAGCATAAAAATTTGGAAATTTGTTTGTTTAGCTATTTATACCCCACTTTTCTTCCAAATGGGAAACCAAAATGGGTTACATCCCTCTCCTCCTGGGCTGCCAATTCCCCCCGGGGGGCGGATTTCCCCCAGCTTTGGAGGCCC